CCCCCCCTGTCAAGCAGGTTCCATAACACCCATGAAAGGGCTATCTCAACTGCATTTAAGTTGATGATTCGTCCTTGACATGCGAGCCATGTGAGCCTGCGTTAAACCGGCCCGCTTTATTGATGGTGGTGTCCTTCATTCCAGGAGGTGGTCCATCAGATCAAACATCTTGTGGATATCGCAAGCTATATAATTTGGGCTTTCTTGTTGTTGCTGCAATCATGCAATGATAAGCCATATGTTGACATAGTGGCAACCGGAGCAGCCCTGGACTTTGTGTGATATAAGACCGTTGAGGCACGAGGTGATTTTTATGGGACCTTGCTCTGACAGCCTTTTGCACCCTTCATGCCTCACAAGAAACTAGAAGAATCGAAGGCTTGCCGCATAGCCTTATAACGAAAGACTCGAGCCGTAGGCATGTCGGGCTTGTCCCCACTCTGCCGGCAAGCGTTTCTTCCTTTATGTAGAGAGTGTAGGAACTTGTTCCCGTGTCAATTGGCAAGTGCTCCTCGGCGTATAGGCTAAGTAGTTAGTGCCATGTTCTGTAATGGGAATAGAAATAATTTACGGGTGATGTGTAGCTACGTCTCGCTTTGGGGATTCACAATCATTTTTCGTACCAGTTGATGGGTCCTGCTCTTGCAAAACATCGCAGGTGTGTGGTAGTGCACTCAACATACCTGTGGCTTCCAATGGCTTGGGAGGGTGGATGACTCTGACTCTGGTCGTCACGGCAGGATTCGTGGTGCTAGTTTAGCTGTGACTGCAAAAGTAGCTAAATGCAGCAAGCGTATGCAACTGGCCACAGAAGACTGCCTCCAGCAAGTGCAAGACTAGGGCTCCTTTTCTTTGGGAAAACGTCTATGTTGCTCCTCCTGGCTAGTGTGGCATGCCACGTTCACAAAAGATTGAACCACAAAGACGAGAGCAGGTTAGCCCTGCAGTGAAAACATGAGTAGGACTCCTCAGAAGGGGGATGAATCCCTGCAAGAGAGGCAGCTGAGTGCACGAGGCCAGCCCATGCGAGATGGGCAGCAGAGTGCACGAGGCGGGCCTCTGCAAGATGGGCAGCACAGTGCACGAGGCGGGCCCTCGCAAGATGGGCAGCAGAGTGCACGAAGCCAGGCCATGCGCGAGGGGCAGCAGAGCGCACGGGGCCCCTTACAAGATGGGCAGCCGAGTAAACATGATGACCAAGAGCCGAGTGCACCAGGGGCGTCTACGCGTGAGGGGCAGCAGAGTGCACGAGGCAACCCCCAAGAGGGGCAGCGGAGTGCACGGGGTGGTGCTCTTCAAGAGGAGCAGAGCAGAGATGGATCAGAAATGGGTTCTCGCAGAACTAGTAGCCTTGGAGATGCAAGTGAGGCCTCCCGTTCAAATGATGAATTGGTGACAGAGAGAAAGCCTCTACCGACAGGTCCGGCAGACCAGGACATGCGGGTGGATGATGGCAAGGACTTCACTGGGGACGACTTTCCATCCGCCGAGCCTCCAAAATCCGCCAGATCGGTGAGAATGTCTGATGGACATTCTGGAGGTGCGGCTGATATGGCGAATTCCTTGCCCCCCTTGGAACCGCCGAAATCCAGTAGGTCGCAGAGGAGTGCAGGCGCACGTTCTGGTGCTGAGACGGGCAGAAAAAGCGGTGCTGCTACTCAGATTGAGATGAATGAGGATGAAGAGGAGGATGAAAACGAGGATGGTGAGAATGAAGATCCGAATGCTAATTCCGCCGGTCTTCCCAGGGCAGCGGGTGCTTCTGAGGCGATATCTCAAGCAAGTTCTGCCAGGTCAGGGCGTCGGCAGTGGGGTCCACCAGTGGGAAAGCTGCATCTTGGTGACAAGATGCAAACTGATCAACAGGAAAATAGTTCTCGGGGAAGGAGAGTGAGTTGGAGTCGGGCTTCCGATACCAGTTCTGAGATGAGTTTCAGAACCCGCAACATTGTTGAGAACTTCCGTGTAAACCTGAAGAGCATGCGGAACTGGGGAGAAGACGACACTTCAATGCGGTTGGCATTTGAGCAATTAGACAACCTGGCAGAGAATACGAAAACAGTGCATAGTGCTCTTGAGTCGAACCGCGTCATGTTTGAGCAGCAGCTGCTGGCTGCGAGGAGACGTCGTGTTTGCATTGCATTCAGGGCATGGTGGAACGAAACTCAGAGAGCGCAGAAAAGGCGGCATGCTGCCAAACAACGGTTCGTTATGGTGCTGAAGCTGAAGACGGCAAAGATTATGCATGCGTGGAAGGATCTGACAGCATCGCAACGAAAAGTCTGGCGTCTCGAACCGTCCGCATTGAAATTGATGGGCCAGCACTGCCTGTGTCGGGTGTGGGGGACTTGGAGACGGATGACCATGCAGACCCAGTTCAAGCTGGAGTTAGAAAGGAGAGAAGAACAGCTGGCATTGGTGCTAGAGGAGAGATGGCGAGTCGGTGTTTTCAGGCGGGGAAACAATGTCCTCTACAGGCGACGACTTTCTCGAGCATTCAAGGCATTCAAGGAAGGTGTTGAGATAAAAAAGGCGAAGGCGAGCTTTTCGCGCTATGCCATTCGGTTGCTCCAGAAAGGCAAGAATCACAGGATCCTCCAGGCTTGGAAGCAAATTGCAGAATTTAAGGCGATGAAATCTCGATGGGGCGATGCAGTAGCGGTTAAGCTGAGAAAGAAGAAGATGCAGCGTATCTTCCTTGCGCTGCGTCATGTGACTGCGCAGCAGAGACTTACGAAGCACTGCATACAGTGGTTCAGGCGCAGGAGAATGCAGAGAGCCATGCGCCCAGCATTTGCAGCCATGGCTGCAGCAGCAGGGGTTCGTAAAGAAAAGAACACGAAGCTCAAGTACGTTCAGTCGCGTCTGGACCGTGGGAGAATGGCGAGGGCATTCCGTGCCATGGCGCAGGTGTGTTCACGACAAGCAATGAGGAAGAAGGTGGCAGCTAGGGCGATCAAGAGGATGCAGAGATGGCGACTAGCATTGGCATTCCGTGCCTGGGTCCTCGTCATGCAGATGGGTGCGGATGGGAAAGTCTGTAAGCTGGGGGAGCAGTTTGAGCAACTGCAAAATGAGAATAAGAGTTTGAAGGCCGATGTAGCCCGCCTTGCCCGAATCATTGACGCCCGCGATTGGAATAAAGAGAGGGTTGCGGAGTTAGTGAAAGCTGGTGAAGTGCTTGCCGGGGAAAGGGCGGCACTCACAAAGCTTGTAGGGCGGTTGCGGAGGGAGCAGATGGAAGTCGAAGGACGACGGAATGAACACGAGGATGAGATTCGTAACATCAAGGACCGTCTCCTCAGTGGGAATTTTGTGCAGCGGAACAAGCTGCTGGTGAAGGGTGCCTCCAGCTTCAATTCTCTGGTTCGGGCACTGAAGTCAGATGTTCTGGCGTCAGCAAATGCGAGATCAGAGCCAGAGCTGTTGTACGCAGTCGACAAACTCTCCATGGACCAGATCTCTGTCTTTCCTGACGGTGAATTACATGTGAAGGCAATAAAGGATGGAAAGGATGGCACTGCTTTGCCGATCAGACGATTGAAGACCAGACACCAGCCTCGCAGACCACCACCAGTGACAACAGCAGCCACAGCAGGCTCAGTCACTCCGACGCGAACAGTGTCTCCGTATCCATTGCAACCTCGAGAAAGGATTTCGCAAAGAGAACCCGTGATGGTGACAAGTGCTCCGCAAGGGTATTTGGATGACGGATACTTTCCGGCTGAAAAGCCGTGGGCAGCTGGCAGCTCGCGGAATTCAGATGTGTTGCCAGAAAACATTGACGTGAACATGAGACAGAGATCAACACCAGATTCACAGAGCACCGGAGGGGCGCATGTGATGTGGGCTTATGAGGTGGAGGATGCTGGTCGCAGTGCAAGGGTAACATCCTACGAAAACCCGATAGCCACATCAGGGGTCTACACCGTGTCCGAGGGCCAATATTCCATGCAGGAGCAGCAGGTTGAACCAACCCGAGGACACAACGGCATCGGTAGAGGGAGCAGGACGGAGGATGTGGAGGAGAGAGGTGATCTTGAAACAACAGCGAGAGCGGATAGCCGGTTGCGTGCAAGAGGTCCATTGCCACCCAGGCCCAAGAGACCGGCCAGTGCAGGGGCAGTTTCTGGAAGACGGGATAGCAGAGACTCGTGGTTCAGCCATGAAGGTAAGAGGCCAGTGTTGATGTCGGCGCCATTGCCAGAAGACAGAGGGGCAAGCCGCACACATGTGACGGATGTGTCAACCTCGGCTTCGGGACCATGGCAAGCAGGGCGGGCTTGGAGCCCTGCGAACTCAACAGAATCATTGTGAAGGACACTGGTTTCACTTTTGTGGTGGCAAGACTCTGTTAAACACCGGCACCATTGCGAGAAGACAGAGGGGCAAGCCGCGCCCATGTGATGGGCGTGTCAACCTCAGCTTCGGGACCATGGCGAGCAGGGCGGGCTTGGAGCCCTGCGAACTCCACAGAATCATTCTGAAGGACACCGGTTTCACTTTTGTGGTGGTGATGTCCTGCTAAACGCCGCCAGTACATTGCCCAGGAAAACTCGAGAGTTCTGTCCGAAAATTTTGGGCGCTCGGGTCTACCGGACCACAATGGCTGATGGCGCCAGCCAAAAACGGAAAAAAAAAAGTGCACCATTGGCAGTTCGACAATTCTTGGCGTGCAGCACGAAATCCGCCACGGCATAACAAGGCTTGGATGTGCTGGTCCTTTAAAGGTGCCCTCTTTGTTGTGCACTGGATTGCTCCTGCTGATTGTACTCCTGTTTTCCCTCATCCATTTTTTTGTTGCTAACTGTACTGCTGCTTTGCCTGCTATCTAAGTTCACAGCCTTTCTTCAATGCCCTTCGTGACTCGTTTGTGTGTGCTTTTATCTGGCTACCTTCTTCCCCCAATACGATGTACGGTCGTTATAGCCGTATTTAGACTGAAAGATACCCCAAATACAGCTATAATGACCGTATGTCTAGGTTACCTGATCGGACGTCCGGGAACCCCTGGACCGTCTGGGGTTGTCCGGTCGGACATCCTCCCCGGGCAGTCTGTCCGAGCCCGAACGCCAAAAAAAAAAAAAAAAAAAAAAAAAAAAAA